TCCCCTAACCGGCCTGTACCGCCCACTGCCCCATGTAAACAAAGCGGCACGTGGAGGCGGCGCGCGCCCGGATCCCCCCGCCCCGCCCCGCCCCGCCCCCTCGGCGGACGGACACTGTTTCGCCGGGCGCTGAGACTCCGCCGTGACATCACTTCCGGGGCGACCTCGCGTCCCGCCGCGCGGGAAACGGATACCCCGCCCCCGGCCGCGCTGCAGCCAATGGCAGCCCGAGGCCCGCCCCCTCCTCCGGGTCTCGCCGGGCCCCCGACCGGCCGCGTGGGCACCACCCACCTTTCTCCGCGGCGTAGTCTCTGGGCGCCATGGTGGGGGTTGGGGGGCCCCTCAGTCCCAGGTTCCTACGTGTCCCCGACTGGGTCGGTCCCGCTACAGGTCCCCGTTGGGGTCAGTCCCGTCCCGTTGGCTACGGATCCCGGTTGGGGTCCGTCCCGGCCGCTCGCGGCCCGTTGGCTACGGGTTCCCGCTGGGGTCCGTCCCGGCCGCTCGCGGCCCGTTGGCTACGGGTCCCCGCTGGGGTCCGTCCCGCCCGGGCTGCTGCCGCCCAGCACCGCTCCACACTCTCGCTGCTGCCGCCGCAACCAAAAGTGGCGCGAAACTATAGACTCCTCCTGCCACGTGCCCGCCCCGGGCCAATCAGTGCCCGGCACGTGACCCGCCCAGCCCGCCAATCGCAGCTCGGGTAGAGCGTCGCGCGGAGGCCCCGCCCAAGCGTTGCCGTCACGTGACAGCGCAGCAGCCCGCGCCGGATCCAGGTTCGAACCGAAACAGCAGGACCCCACAAGCCCCGCCCCCTCTTAAACGGGCCGCGACCCCGGGGCGGGCCTGGGGGGGGGTTCCTGTCTCAGGGGGCGACGCCCGGGGGGGGCGGGGCGAGGGGCGGGGTCCGGGGAGGGTTCCTGGGGGCGGGACCTCAGGGGGCGGGGCCGCGGGGGGAGGGGCGGGGCGTAGGGATGCGGTTCCGGGGATTGTGGGCGGGGCCCCACCTTGGGGGCGGGGTCTCGGGGCAGGGGCGGGGTCTCGGGAGCAGGGGCGGGGTATCGGGGGCAGGGGCGGGGCTACGGGTTCGGGGCGGGGTCTCGGGAGCAGGGGCGGGGCTGAAGGGGGCGGGGCCCGGGTTTGGGGGCAGGGTCCAACTCACTCTCTTCCCCCCTCCCCCCGCAGGCCCGGAGATGTTGTCGCAGATTTTTCATTCTCTCCTCCAAGGGAGACAGACTCGTTCACAAGGACTGTATCCTGCCCCCCAGAACCCCCCACCTGTCCCCTCCAGCCCCCTGGCTCCTCAGTGTGGGCCCCCTGCAGCCCCTGGCTGCCCCCCGATTGGCTCCTGACATAAGCCCCCTTAGCCCCCCTGCACCCCCCCCATCAGCTCCCCTCCAAGTTCCACCTAAACCATCCCCCCAGGCCAGGGGTCATATCCCCCCCCCACGGGTCCCCCCCTCCCGCCCCCAGGAACCTCCTGCCCCGGGAACACCACTGCTGGGGGGCTGCCCAGACCCTGGGGCTGCAGCTGGGCGTTGCTGGGGGGGAAGCTCACAGCCACCTGCCACCCTGATGGGGTCGTTTCTCCTTAACCCACCCCCCAGTCTGCGGCGAGGCCGGCGGAGGCAGCACCGATCTGGTGGACACTTTCTATAGGAAGATCACAGCCCTGCCCAAGGACCAGGCACCCGTCTTCATGGTACCGGGGCAGGGGGAACGGCACCACAATGGGGCGGGTTAAGGGTCTCTCTGGTAACGGGAGGGGGTGTCGCTATGGGGATGAAGCAAGCATCGCTGTGGTAACAGAAGTGGGGAGCATCTCAAGTATCGCTATGGAAACCGGGAAAGAGGGGGCATGTCTGTGTGGTAAGGGGGGGGGCATTGCCCTGGTGGGAGAGGGGGCTGACTAACTCTGCTTGTGTCCCCCCCCCCCGCGATGCAGGCGCACGAGGGGCTGCATTTCGTCCACGTGCGACACGCCGGCCTCTACTTCGTGGCCACGACGGGGCACGATGTCTCCCCTTTCACCATCATCGAGTTCCTCAACCGGTGAGGCGGGGGGGGGGGGCAGGAGTGACCCTGGGTGGGGAGGGGGCAGATGGGGGGATAAGCCTCAGCCCCGGGGCGCAGGCCAGGGGACCTGGGGCAGGGACTGGGGGCAGCAGCCGTCTGTGCCCTCACCCTCCCCCTGTCTCCCTCCCTTCCCGCAGGCTGGTGACGCTGATCCGCGATTACTGTGGCTCCCTCAGCGAGAAAACCGTCAGCCTCAACTTCGCGCTCATCTACGAGCTGCTGGACGAGATGCTGGTGTGTGCGGGGGGGCGTCTGGGTCTGGCATGGCGGGGGGGGGTCGCTGCCGTGGGGAAGCTGCCCAGGTCAGACACCCCACCTGGAGCACCGCTGTGGGGAAGCTCGCAGCGCTGGTGTCCCGTGCCAGTGGTGGGGGAGTAACCGCCCCCCCCCATTCTGTGCTCCCCACCCCAGGACTACGGCTACGTGCAGACCACGGCGCCGGACGTGCTGCGCAACTTCATCCAGACGGAGCCTGTGCTCAGCAAGGCCTTCAGCCTGCTGGACCTGGGCAGCGTCGGCCTGGTGAG